AGTTTTAACGAACGTTTCGATCTTCAGCGGAACTAATACTAATTCGATCTTTGGTGGAAACACTCAAGTATCCTCATCAGGTTCTATTTTCGGAGGAAATACTTCCTCGATAAATACGTTCGGAACACCTCAAACGTTCGTCTTTGATAATAATGCCCAGAAATCTGACTCAATATTTGGTTCCACATCAAACACGGGCTCTACATCCTTTTTTGGTGGTGCAACAAACAATGTCACTCCAGCGTTATCTTCAGCAGGATCTCCATCTGTATTTGGCGATACCGCAGCTAATACGTCGCCAATGGGTGTAGAACAGCTTGTATTAGGTGCACAACCTAATGCCTTTGGGCAAACACCTTCATTTAATGCTAAACCAATATTTGGATCAGCACCAACGTTTGGAGCACCAAAACCAGTCTTCGGCACCGGTTTTGCGACGACAGCATTTGGAGTCAATACTAGTCCTCCAGGTAAATAATATATTATAAAATATATTATATATATAAAATAATATAAACATTACACTTTTCTATACTTCGTATCTTTTTTAAGTTATGAATAAAATTTAATTACTAATAATATATAAAACAGCATTTGGAAATCCACCTACTATGGGAGGAAGTCCTGCTCCAATTGATAACAACATGCCAAAAGTGTTTGGAAATGTAAGTGGTGGTAGTAGCACATTTGAAACTCTAGCGAGTCAATCAGGTGGGCTTAGTTTCAGTAGCTTAGCACAAAAAACCACAGATGTACCAAAATCTCCAGTATTTACTAGGTAAGTTAAAAATTAAATTCTTATTTTTTTTACATTTTTTTATAACTTTTTAGATTCATAAAGTAAAAAGTGTTTAATGTACTTTTTGTTATAGCGGAAGCTCTTTTTCCACTTGGCGGTAGTCAACAAATATCTAAATTAAATAAATTATCCATAATGATACATTATTTTTATTAAAACAAGATAGACTTCTCGTGCTCCTTCAGTCTGTTTAAATCGTGTATTTATGATTACTTTTTATAAACAAGAAAAAAAGATCAAACATAGTAGTATTAAAATATTGTTGACATCTGTGTTATACATAAGTTGATATGATTCAATATATTTCGAATTTATATACAATAAAAGATTTTATAAAACGACGCTGTATAAAGATACATTTAGATACCTCGCTTTATAGGTTTTGGTGCAATTGATACTTTAGTTGGTTTGCAAAGATCTATTACACATGGATCATCAAGGGGGGAATGCATACATACAGCTGAAGATGGCACAAGTAGTGCAAGAGATATTTCTACGTTACAAGCTTCCATCCAAACTTGATGGGACAGTAGAACTATAGTTTTTAATCTGTAATCATTTTGTTCTATATTCTGTAGTCGCAGATCCGACTGACGCGGTAATAGTAATTGTACTTGTTGATCAGGATGCCTCAATTTAATGCGTAACATTCTAGGATCTCGTAAATTCAGTATTTTTGCTGTCAATGGGATTCCTAATAGAAGTCCTCCAGTAAACTTCAGTGCTGCATCTGCATCACCTCTGGGTTCTTCGATAATTGCTCTACAGAACCGAGTAAATACTGATGGTCTTGGAAGACGCTCTTCCCCTTGTGACGCTGGTGTTAATAATAATGGTAAAAGCATTCGTGTTAAAGATCCTGGCTTTACATCAGCTAAAGTTGGAATTTGAAGTACCAGAGCTCTAGAGAAAGATGGTAATTTTGTCGGATCTTGAGATAGAATATCGGCTTCAGATAAAAAGTGACGCGCGAGTGGAAGAGCACTCCTTCCTGTCATGCTTCTTGTAACTCGAATTAATTCTACTGCCAATGCCTTCAACCACACATCATTGGCTAATATAATTTCGTTTTCATCTAATCCACTAAATAGTCTTTGTAATCTGTAACATTCATATAAATTATCTATGAGTAAATATCCATATATGTATGTATATATGTTACAAAAACAAACATGCTGCTTAATATACTTTTGAGTATTCTGAAGAAGAACCGAAACATTAGTAGTTGTATTCGGCAAGGGGCTTGTAGATACCGAATTCGTTGATAATATTGAAAATTCTTTTAATACAGATTTCAAAAGTAGTAAACTTCTTATGTATAAAGCAGTAAAACGTGCAGCTCCTTCCATACGATAATCCATTTTTGCTAAACGATCGAGATCGACAGCTGCAGCTTCTAAGAGCTGAGTGTGCACTCTACCTCCAGGCCTTGCATTTTCTACACCTGTAACTACTTTTTCTAGAAATTCTTTTCCACGTCTAGCTTCTTCGTCAATTTTATCTTCTTTCCCAAAATTTGATCCACTTGTTATGGTTGGTCGCAATCGAGGAACTAAATGCGGCATAGTATCGCGTAAATAATGATAATGTTTAGATGCATGCTCTGTAAAAAGAGCATGCATGCTTGGACAATGAAGTGCAGCATTGAATATTAGGACTAACACGCTTGCATCTATTATTTATAGTTAAGGATAATAAAAATAAGATTGCTAGTATAATTTATATTTTGTAAAGGGAATCGTTAGAAGGATACAAGAAGGTTCGTCGACATCTGGCTCCGGTGTATCGAAAAACGGATGACGTCCAAGAAGTTGTGGTACTAAGGGTAATGTTAAATATGGATGCGTGGCCCCTAATGCTGCCAAACAATTTCTAATACTTTCTTTGTCTTGTGGATAACGACTTAAGTTATCGAGTAGACGGTTTACACACATATGGAGGCAATTTCTTGTAGCAAGCCGACTAGCAGCCAAAGTAGCATGTAGACCTTCTCGTACTTCGCCCGAGAAGTCTTCTAATGCTCCTAAAATTGTTTCTAATTGATCTTCACGAAGCGTTACACTCGCAGACATTTTTCTTAATGATTCAATAGCTCTTAATCGAACATCTTGAATTTCATCATTAAACATATCAACCATAAAATCCAATGAAATTTTGGCTATATTTGGTTGTTCTAAAGATAAGGTACAAAGGGCTTCAACCGCTGCCGTTCTCACCTGAATGTATTTATTTTAATTGCTCAGAACATAAATTAAATAATAAACAAGTAAATAATATTACCTCCAGAAATTCGTCTTCCAAACCATGAATAAATGCACCACATGATCCGCTCTTTTCTTCTACTTCTGGTCTATCTGCTTCTACAACTTTTTGTTTTTTATCCAATGCTTGTTCTATGTATCTTTGTGAGACCCCTTTCATTGTTCCTAGAAGAAACATTGCTAAAGCTCTAACTCTTGGTGATAAGTCACCCATAAGGCTACAAATTTGGGAAAATGCACAATCCACCATACGTATATCTTCTCCATCTGTTCCCATAATAATACTATAAAACAGATGATATAAACAGATAATATAGCTGACAATAAATATTGATAACAGATTGAAATAGATATTAAATGTTGCTTACTTTTCGGGGTATTCTCTGCCTAAAAGCCATATTAATTTAAGAACAGTTCTACGAACTATTTCATAATCATCTCTGAGTGCAGTACAAGCTTCTCCAAAAAAGCTTGCAGGTAATCTGCAACCTCTATAAGAATGAAGTTCAGCCATCGTCTCAAATGCTTGTGCACGTACCCTTGGATCTTGAGAATGTGCATAGTTGCTAACAAGTGATAAAGTATCATCTGTAGTATTTGCAGTCAAATATCTACCAATAATAGAAAGACAACGTGTCTGTACACCATGCCAGGTATCAGGCAAATGCTCACGGGCAATTTTCAATACAAGAGTCCTAAAATTTAATGAATTATTTTTCTTCTTTAATGTTAAAAAAAAAAATTTCAAATATGTATATGATACCTATGATAATCTCCCAACTTCAATAATGTTGCTAATCCTTGGCTTTTTACCCTATGTGATTCTTCGTTTTTTAAAAGTTCGGCAGTTTCATTAACAATTTTTGTCTTTTCTACAGAATCATTTGTTACATCTCCTAATTCTGCAAATATCCAAAGAATTTTGGCACGAACTGCTGCTTCTGTTTCTATAGCAAATCTTTCTGACAACCTCTTTACTACAGAAGGAACATCTTCTGGAGAAATATATGCAATCGTATCAGATATACGAACAAGAAGCTGTAATGCATCATTACCACATTTACATTTCTCAAGGCACTCAATGTAAGCTAATGCTGAACTTCCTTCTATCCCATTTTTACTACCTGAACTAGATGTAAGGTGTAATGTTTTTAATCTCTTTGGTGGCTCATTTATAACCTATAAACAAGTTTAATTAAATAAAATATCGAATATAAATTTGTTTGAAACAAATCATTTAATTTACCTGACTCTGGTTAAATTCTGCCAACACCCTTTTCTTCATTAAAGCTGCCATTCTTTAATATTATAATATTCTTTAATAACTATAGAGATTAATCATATATTTTTTATTATTTTATATTAAGTAAGAAATAAAAATTAGTAACTTTTCATTTTTAAAGCTTATAATAACCTTTATTTGTTGTTAGTAACATTTACAACACTATAAGTTACATATATAATTCAAGCTTAAAAAATGTGTTTTCTGTAGTCTGCAGACAAGTTTATACAGATATGCTCTCAGCTGATTACGTGTTGATTATGCTATTCAATTTATACTTATACATGTATGCCATGTGTCAAAGTATTATGAAATTAAATGACTTACTATACTTTTTATTAATAAAAAAAATATAAAAATTTACTTATTAAATAACAGATCTATTTATAAAGGAAAATTCAACAACTTCTTAACATATATAACTTATTTTACTAAATATTGATTTATAAAGTACTTTATCATATTTTTTATGCTCTTTTATTTTCCACTTTGTTGCGGAAATATTAGTTATTATCATAAATTTTTGTTTCTTGATAAACATAATAACGATAGTAATAGAAGTATCTTTATAATTTTCATTATTACGTATATCAAATAAACCTAAAAATATTGTAATAATGATATTTATAATCGATTCATTTATTTTAATATGGGATTCAAAGAATATAAACAATATTTCTATTTATCATGCTTCAGATAAACAATCGACGAATCTGTCAAATTGACAAGTTTATTTGGCATTAACATGGCTGCCGAGATCAATAGGAAACTGTCATGATGCATTTTGTCCATGCTCATTGGTGTTATTAGATTTTCTAATATGTATTGTACGGATATTTTTTTGTGAACATGAATATTTTTTAAATCGTTAGAAAGGTTATTCATATTTTTCTGAAAATGTCATAATCTTGATTTATAATGGTAGGTGAAAGTGTTCTGAATATTTGCCGATCCGTGAAACGAGGGTGATTCATAACAATGTAATACAGCTTTACAAAAACGATATTTTGTTTATGATCGATTAAAGATCGTAGATATTATAGGAGTTCCTAATATTTAGTATGAACGTAGACAATGTACTTATCTTAGAAATATTACTTAAAAAAATTTAAGATATAATATTTTTACATGATTGTTGTTTCATACTTGTCTCATAAGAGAGTAATTGTTTCTACAATTTGTGTGAATATTTTTCGCTCTTAGTAGTGAAGACATTGGTATTACTCAAGGAAATCATTGAGTTTCCAATAGATGATATATTAATATGGACATTTTTGAATATATTTGCATATCTGTGATTACATTTGTGTGTGGTATAATATGTACACTTGTGCTGGAATTTTATTTATTCAAAAAATACTTGGAGCAAGCACCTTTGGAAAGTACACCAAGAAAATTAAAACACCATGGCAAGGCTCAGTTACCTAAGGAGTTACTTGATAAAATTCAAGATGAAAAAACAAGTTCCATAAGCATATCACGCCAGGGTATGTGCCAAGGCAATGAAAACTTGGCAATAAATTTAACATTGCAATTTTTGTTTAATGAACTTAGAAATGCTGAGAGAGTACGCCTTTGGTTGTATAGAAAGTTAAATAATGAGTTCAAAGAATTATTAACTCAATCTACCACTGGCAAATTGCTAGACAGTGTACAGGTAAAGTATATACTTAGAAGTATTATTTAATATTTGCACTAAAGTTACATCAGTAATAATTTATATATATTTTCAGTTAAGAGACTTGAATCTGGGTTCGCAATTTCCCACAATAAAAGGTTTAGAAGTTGCAGATTCAAAAATAGATGCTGATACAGGTTTATTGGAGACATTGGATTTATCTTTAGATTTACATTATTCTGGAAATTTTCAATTATCGATAGATGTTAAAATGCTACTGGGAAAGACTGCATATATGGCTTTACAAGGTAAGAAATTATTTTCTCTAAATATTATTTTTGAATAAATTCTAGTAGAATATAGTTAGCAACATCTTTTTTAGTGAAACGTATCAGTGGCAGAGCTAGGTTGCAGTTTACACGTGTTCCATATACTCACTGGTCCTTAAGTTTTTATTCAGATCCTATACTTGAATTGGAAGTACAATCCCAATTTCAAGGTCGTCAATTACAGCCACAGATTATTTCTTTGATCACAGGACAAATTCGTAGAGCTGTGCGTAGGAAGCATACATTACCTCGCTATAAAATGCGTTACAAACCATTTTTCCGTAGACTAAACGACGAAGCAGTAGATTTATCCGAAGTAAAATATATATTTTTATTTAAAAAGTCATAAAAGTATTGAAAAAGAATATATTTAACAAATATTTAAAACTCTTATTTAGGTTGCCAATATACAATTGACACCAGGTTATTTGGAGGTATCACTGGTGGAAGTGACTAGATTAAATCTTGGACCTAATATACTTAATGCAGACGATAGATCACAAGTTGAAGTATATTGTACAATAAGCATAGATTCAACACCTTGGGTATATCTGACTCAATATACTGGAGTTCCTTATATGGTGTTGGACTTAATTATTAGTAAAGTTGGTTCTCAGCAACTTGGCGTAGTGTTTAAGCAAGAATTTGTGCCAGAAGTAGGTCATGTATGTGTGTTAGTCGAGACTATAATAGTTGGAAGTCCTGCTGCAATCGCTGAGATGAGAAAAGGGGATATTTTAATAGCAGTAGATGGCAAAAAGGTGTCTAACATGAATCAAGTAGCTAAATTTGTAAAAAGTGCGGTGCAGAGGCGTTTTATCATAAGGGTTGAAAGAAAATATTCTAAAGCAGATTTGGACAAACAAGCTAGCATGAAATTGGATAGTGAAAGGATATCGGCAGAAAGAGGAGTTGATAAGAAAACATTAAAAACTGATTTTATATTTAATAAGGGAGATACGCCCAGTGCCGAAGACAGCAAGATCAAATTTGAAAGCCAAATAAAATTTTCGGATTTAAAGGATTGTGAAAATGAAATTTCTGACAAATTGGAAATGAGTAGTAGACTATTTAGAAGGAGAAAAAGCAGCGCACATACCGATGATACTACTCAGACACCAGACGCTACCCCCTCCAGAAAGATTTCAACTACTTCGAATCAATCGATAATATCGAGTAGCTCTCAATTTTACTTTAATGACGATAACTATGTAACAAATATATCAGACTTATACTATACTACTAAAGAAAAAGAATATGCATCTTTAATCACTTTCGAAGAAACTAGGTCTTTTCAAATTGATTCAGAACTCCAGTACTTAAATATAGGAGTATGGGGTCGTGTAAGAGGAGGAGAAATTCAAGCAAAGTTATTAGGATATATTAATGTCCCTATGAAATTAATTCTGGCACAATGTTATACATCCTCCACTGGTCATTATCTTAAATGCTATGCTTTATTACCACCAGATAGTGGTGTGTAGTATTCTTATTAAATATGTATAATTGTTAATATCATATTTATTTGTATCTATTTTTTACTAATTTTATATACTGTTCTGAAAGCTTCTTTGGCGACGGTACATCCAAAACTACAAGGATATTCAGGATTCGACCCAACACTTTGTTATGGTGATATTTTATTATCTTATTTATGGGAGTCTAGTTACCCGAATCGTCATATAACTGGTGATTCAGGGAAAAAGGAAAGTACAGAAGCTGTCAAAACACAACCACCTTTGAGCGAAGAAATTTCTGAGAAAAAGCTGCACGATTTTATTAGAACTCATTTTCATAGAGCAACACACTGCGACTTTTGTACAAAGAAGGTTTATGTTCTCACACTTATTTGCTTCTTTATGTGTACGTTTTAAAGTAAATAATACAATTACATATATCTTCGTTATATAGATTTGGCTGAAGGACGCAGTGCAGTGCAGAGATTGTGGTATGGTGTGTCATAAGAAATGTGAAGTTCGTTGTCAAGCATCAGGATCATGCGGAGCCGAAAGTATAACAACAATGGCATTGGAAGCAGACGAAATAGAATCTACTACTGTTATTGGGGAATCAGGTCCAGAGATTTCTCTAACCAGTTGCGAAGATAATGTACAGGTACTCAAGACGTAATAAAAGTATTTATTACACAGAAATGGCATTGTCAACTTGTTGACTTTTAAATTTACACAACATTTTAAAACAGCAATAAATGCTGTAGTTGACAATTCCATAAAATAAATATAAATTCTTATTCGTTTTTTCATTGTGATTTAATATGACACTTAGTGATTTTAAGACTATTTACAACTTAAAGTTAGATCTCTGAATTGAAATTTATCGAATATGTAATATATATGAATATATAATTTATATTTTTATTAAAAAAAATTGTACATTAATTTTGAAAGATAAAATTTTATTATGCAATTGTCGTTACAGTGGAATTTTACAAAAGAAATATAAAATTACGATCACTATGCATATCTACGCTTTACTAGTTATATTTGACTGTACAGTATGTAATGCTGTAATCAAGGAATTGCAGTTTCTGGGCAATTAATGTGTATTTGAAATATTTAGAGTATTCTTGGTATTTTGTACATAGGGAAACAACTGTTAAGTGTGATTCACCTTATTGTTGGTAATAAAATTGGTCATCTGCATAATAGGGAGGTGAAGGTTTTTTGTAGGTTTGCACCTTGACCTTGCTTCTAATGTTGAGTATTTGTGAATTTTGTAAGTGAATAGATCATTTGTTTTATTATTGTCTAGTAAACCTTACACACAAAATAATCAAGAATGAGGTAGAGGGCGCGATTGCGTGATGTATCGTTTCTCCTTGTTCTCTTTGTTTTTTAATAGTTTATCGGTGTTGTCGATTGAATAATTAAAATTATTAATATTGATATTAAATGAAATTATAATAGAAATTAAATTTGGTATTAAAAATTTGAAATCCGTTGATCGATTAATCAGGGTGCAACTATGATGGCCATGAAGGCTAGTATAGCTAATACTCTATTGGGCCTGAAGAAGGCTGGAAGTACCAGTTGCTTGGCCCCACCGGCTTCCGGTACTGGTCTGGCATCTAGAAGTCTTCCCCCAAGTCCCTGTGCATCCCGCAAGGTAGAATTTAATAACACAAATTTGTTCAGTTGGAACAGAGAAGGATCTCAGATTGATATTCCTTGCATTAAATATCAATAGCAATTTTAATTATATCAAATATAATTTTGGGCCTTCTCTGCTCTATTTCTGTTCTTTGTTCTATTTTTTGTACCAGCAATTGTAAGGGGCAGAAAACACGCTTATGACTAACAATAAGATATTGACTGTCATTTTGAAGCTTCAATTATATTTGATTCGCTTGTCGTTCATTGTACGTGCGATGTCTTTGGAACTTTGTACCAGCTTTCTATTTTTTCCTTCCTATCGCAAATAGTCACACTATTCTTTATTGCTCATGGCACTAACTGTTATTTGGAGAGAACAGACACGCAGATGCACATCGAGATCGCCATGCTTATTATATAAGATATTGTTGTATTGATACTATATAACTAATACAATCTCTCATAGAGTGATAAACGATGCTTTCTTTACACCTTTACTATCATATACAATCGAGGTAGGTGCATCTATTCTTTAGGGTCAAGATCTAAAAATGATTCTAAAATTGCCGACGAATCTGATCGAATTATTGAAACGTTTAGAATTCATTGGTTGGTGGCTTGGGCATAAGTCCCGATCTCTTGGAGGGTGCTGAACCTAGCGTGGCAGCTCCTCTAGTAGCTGGCGATTTGGACGATGGTCTTATGTCTAGAGCTAAAGATACCGGCAAGTTTCTGTACAAACATTTGGAGCCACTAGAACGCGTTGAAAAAATCAATGTCATGGTAAAAATAACATTGAACTTTTATTAACAAACTTTTATTAACAATATATCAATTAATCGTATATTTAATGTTAACATTTAACGTAGATGGGGAAGCTGAAAACTGCGCTCGACGCGGAAACTGCCTCAAGATTGGAATTATCACAAAGCGGAGAAATGGACAGTATTAAATTAATTGCACAAAGCGATTTACGAGTGCAAGCACTTAGTGTCTTACTATTGCATTATTGCGCTGGATTGCAACACGCGCAAGAAGCATTAGATCGATTTCAAAGAAACAGAGAGTCCCAACAAGCTTAACTTCAATGAGAAAATGCCAACAAAACTATCGATATACATTCCAATCCCGCGTACATTCTATTTCACTTCACTGTCTGTTTAATACAGAAATCGTCGATAACTTTGGTCGATTATAAATATCCGTTCAGGTATCTGTATCATATATATACGTACTTACAATTGTACGTATTATATGGTTGCTTTGAAATTTCTCTATAAATCGTTCAGCGACATTCATGTTAATAGGCCTCTAGATAATACTCGTAAATTTTACCGTGATACCTTCATAGTTTACCAGAGAACACCAAATATTAAGACTTGTATTTACAGATTCTATGTATACTCGTAGAGAACAGAGTACAACGTATACCAGCTGTGTTTACGCATAGAGTATTTTCGGCGGTGTAGGTAAATAGTTGTGTTATAGAATGATTAGGATAACAAAAACGGGAAAATAGTGTCTTGAGTTTAAGTGTAAGGTAGTGAGTAATTAGATATTTAATTACAGTATTCGATAGTTTTGCGGAACAGATATTATTCTCTTTCATATCGATATAACGATTGACCTTCGATTATGAGATTTAAATAATTCAGAATAGATTTTGTTTCTTACTGAATCGTATTTTACTTATCTGTAAGCCGGCTGCAACGAAATACATTAATTGCGACTGATTTAAAAAATATCAACGTTAGTATTATCTACATACGAGTATGAATGAAATACACGATACGGTAGAATTCCATCCATAGATAACACGAATAGATAACATCGGGGTATTGATATATACATATATTTCATGGCTTTAACAAGATATTACGATCTATTGTTAGTATGTAAAATAAATATAAGAAAATCAATATAGATTATTGAACGAGTGTTCAGTGATAATTTGTACTCGTATTATTTAAGACTAATATCAAGATTAACGAAAACCGTTTCTTGAGCGATTATTCTCTTGAAACACGCTGTTCCAAGCGATGATTTAAGTATCGAAAATGTTTCGTTCGTCCAACGAGAAATATATGCGAATAAATGCGAAATCGGGTAGACGTCCGTTTATATCTATCGGTGACGATGATCTTTCCGTTTAAACTACGTGGAAGATCCGAATTCTTGGTAAATATGAAAATACTCGAAAAACGGAGACGCAGTAACTTGCGAGCGCACAAAGAGTCAACGTCAGAGCCAAAGATTTTATAGGGCCAATGTTCGCGGTCAAACAGAGACGTTTTGCGAAGGTTTTCCGCAGATTATAATCGCGGGAGGCCAGATTGCATCGTAAAAGCAAGGAAGAAGATAGCTTGTAGTATAAAATTTTCAACAATTCGGATGTCATTTTGTTTTTCACTTGATCGTGAATCAACGAACGCTGCCGGTCAACCCTATTGTATTCCCCGTGCGATACTTTTCATTTGCACACGGGCGTACGACTTTCCAAGATTCAGAAAAATTTACTGCGCGAATTATTCGTGGAACATGATGTTTCTTTCCGACACGTGTTGGCAGATCACAGTTGGCGTAAAATCAGAACTCGGCGGTCTTGACCGGATGTAAAATTACGCGTCGTTTTAAAAACGTAGAGTCATCGAATTCACAAAGAGAATGTACGTATGTACGCGTATCGAGCAAATGTTTTACGTTCATTATTACGAATTAAAAGGTCGATCAAGGATCCTTCTTTAAACATGAAATGGGTCCGTTGGAGACTGAAAAACCGCAAACATCTTCCTTGTCGATATATGAAAATGTACCATTTACATACATATATATATATATATATATAGAAAGAGAGAGAAGAGGAAGAAATCATTTGGGGGGAAGAGAGAAAAAGAGGGTATACACGTGCATGGACCGCGTGCATCGATCTCAGCACGATACAGCGTAGCTTATATCTCGCGCACGTTCATGCGAGAGTCAATACGAATACGACGACTGAAAAGTCATGGGGGATTTTGGCCCGCGAATCTATTCTCGTCCATGAAATGCACGCGCAGTATCCTCTGGCCACGTGCCAAACATACCGAAGAATCGTATAAACATTTTATCCCTGTTGGGCACTGGACTCTGCAATGAATGGAGAGAAAAGATCTGCATGGAAAACTAAAGACGCGATTGATTTTTCTTAAGTACCTCTCCGCGCTAGTTCGCAAATTAAATCAGGGATAATCGGAGATTCGAATCTACTATTTTTTTTTTTCTTTCCATAGTTTGGTGAGAATATTCGATACGATTGGTAACGGATGAGTCATAAAGATTTTCTTTTCCAGAATACCGCGTGATCGAACGAACGAGAGATTCTTTCGGGAGAAAGGCGTAGAAATACGTTGTTTAATGCGGTGAAACGAATACGCTTTTCGATCTCGCGACCTCAGCCAAAACACGCGCGTTCGATGTTTTCTTTTGTCTGAAAAGATGCCCTGGCAGTATCACTTATTCCAGATGCTCCTTCTAGCTGTTTATTATCACGATGAAACGACGAGGCACGTGTCCGTATGCAATCTTTTTTATAAACCGTCACTTAACGGAAGATTAATTGTATTTTATATTTTCGAATATTTCTCGATGAAACGTTCGATATCCTTTCCCATAGATCGTCAACTCTTGTCCAAGATAACGAACATATATTTAGCAAGTCTGTCGATCGATTTACTTTTTATAGTCTGTTCCAAAGAAATACGTCGAGAAATTTTCCGAATGGTAACGCGTGTTCGTTTCCATTGTCGTGCGAAACGGATACGTGCCATTTTTATATCGCGTTGTTTGCGAAGAGATACATACGAAGAAAAGTGAAACAGAATGGTTACTGGAAAAGTTCGCCACCGATGAACGAACGGGCAATAATGAACGTTCGCAATGGCGCAGTAGGCATCGTGCCGAACGGATGGTTCGTCGTATTTTCGACCTTGGATTTAGACGATGTTTCGAATGAATATTTTGCGAACAGGAATGGAAAGGTGAACGGAAAGAGCGGAACAAAGCTTTCGTCACGAAAAAAGGAGCGGAAGCGTATGAAATTCGTGTGCGTTGAACATTTTTCATTTTGAACCTTGTTCGCTTCCTCGTCCTTACCGCGTGAGCTACGCCGCTAATTGCACATTTATGTAACGACGCGATTCGATATACATATATATATATGAATGTATATTGAATGTATTTCATATATATATATATATATATATATGAAAATAAAAAGAATAAAAAAATATTTGAACAACGACAATCGAGGAATCGTCTGTACACGCGGTTGTATAATAATTTCTTAATCCGCTGTATAATTTCTTTCAGCTAATCTATCATCGAACGTTTCCCCTTTACGCTTCGTACGCATCTGAGAAATTTCGTTCGCTTTTACAGTATTGCGTAAGACTTCTGGACGTATGGATAAATATGAAACGAAAAATTGGCTCGCCACGGATCTTACGATCTTCAGACGGTTCTTTATAACACGTCATGAATTATAGATGAAAGAAACGTGGAATTAATTAAAGCGGCAAGTCGAAAGAGGAACAGAATTTGGAAGCTCGTAACGAAATGTTGGTAGGAAGTTGGCCGGCGTCATTCGCAGAGTCACGTAAACGTGCAGACGCTTTCCAAACTTACACGCACGATATCTAGGTTTCTTCCGAGTGCAGGCACGATCAAAAGAACCTCAATCTCGATAGAACGTGCAATTAGATGAGTCATCCCGTTCCGCGAGAACTTTTGCATCGAGTATTACGCTTCTCCCTGCGACGATCCCTTCCTGTTTCCGTCAATCTTATGTTCAGACTTCCTTCGTCTATGTCACAAAGGCCTTCGAGTAGTCGTATTTACGCGCCTATTTCTGTACGAAGAAACTTCAATGCCGTGTTTAACGTAGTTCGACTCTTAAGAAGCGTAACGCGGAAAAGCTACACACAAACGGTCCACGAAAATTCATCCTGTTCTTTCTTCGTTGAAAGGACAATGACAATGCGAACTCTGAAACGAGACGTGTTCCGATAGCTGGGACCTTGATTGCACGTTCGTGAAAATCCTAACTCCAATTTCGACAGGTTGCAGGCCGAGTGCACCTGGCTGTGCATATGCGTTGTGGCACCTACAGTTGTTTTCAAACAAAGAGAGGGAGTTGAAACAAAGTAGTCAGCTGATTCGAGATGCATCTTTGGTGGGAGACTCTGCTACGAAGGCTTAAATAGCACCGCGTGGAGTTCTGCACTTCAGTGCCAGCCAGCGTCACCTGAAACACTCTCGTTTCGATATCTCTCCCCTTACCTTCTGAGAGTTCTTCAAGTGCGGGGAAAAACAGAAAATCGCAGGAATCTCGCAGCTTCGTGAAAGATCGAGGACACGACGATCTCGTCTCAGACGCGATCGGTTCATCGATGTTCTCAGAAGCCAACGTTTCTCCGTTGTTTTCTCGATAAACATACCGACAACATTTGCGACGACAACGCTAGAAGTTCGCATTAGACGCGATAGTTTCAGGCAACAAGTATCTCGTCGGAAAAGTGCGTTTCAAGCGTTCTTTGTGTACGATCAAAAGGTTGCGTCCCGAAACATGATTGTTTTTTAATGCGCGAGGAAGAAGTGGAGAGAATCAAGGGTGCTATCGATACTTCGAGGAAGAAACCATAAAAGCGTGTACTTGATCACTGTGCAACGAGTTCGACAGTGATTAGACAACTTTGAAGAGATTCAGTGATCGTTCGATTCCGAATAAACAGAATTTCTAGACGAGTTCCTTGCTTTCGTTTAAAACTCTACAAAGATTTCTCCACGTCCGTCGTACATAATCAAACGTAGAAGAGATGAGACCACCCGCGTACAATGGTGACGATGTGCAACAGATTTCTCAGGAGCAAGGAGAGAGGAACGTGGCTATGGCTGTTTGCGTCCAGTTGGCGGGCCGGGCGATAATTAGGGTAGTTTCCCGGTGCGAAGAAGCGCAGGACAATTGTAATCTAGGTGGGTCAAATCTATCATCGTATGATTTCCTATCTTTGATGACGTTCTAATCTGTTTCGCCTTCTAACATCGACAAAGTTTCGACTTGCTCGTTGGATTTTCGAATGTAAAACAATAAATCTGCAGAAAAACTTGATCTTTGAACCTTTTCTGATAGAAAAATAAAAATAACTCTTTTAAGAGAAAAACGCATAGTTTTTTTTTAGAAAAATATGAAAAACTATTAATAAAAGAGCAGACAGAAAGTAGTATTTTTCTTTACTAGCGTTGACTCGAGAAACTACTTCGCTAACGTAGAATTGGTTAGCGAAACGTAATTGTTTACTTCGCGTTTGATACTTTCTACGCTACGATATCTTTCCGCCTTTGAGGTATTACACTTTCGCTCGGCTGAGAATTTCATTTGGGGAAAGAAAACGCGCTGGAATATTCGTCGAGTAATATTCGCGTTTCCATGATTCTCTAAAAATTAGATCAAAATGTTCTTCTCGATTTATACTTACTGTACGATCGATGAATAAAAACGCTATGATCGTTTCACGAAACAGAGAACAATTCGCATAATGGACTGCGCACTTTTCCTCGTGTATATGATAATAAAAGCTCAGATAAGATATCGGATAATGCTAAAATTGTATATGTTTTTTTAGAAAAGTATACTCAGACTAATTCCTTATCACCTCCACGCTCACGTTTGTTCAAATCCGGTCTAGTGGATTATTTCTTAATCGATTTCACTGAAAATTTTTGCTTGTACATGTACTTGCAGTTAAGCACGAACTGTATATCGCAGATCGGATAAATCGTAAATCTTATGCAGGTTGTTTAAGTTCGCTAGCTGTTTGTAACGCATGGCCCGATCTCCTACTGGTATAATCGACTCGCAACAGTACATTTGCCGGTAATGTAATTTGCTCGACTCCCTATTGCACTCAAACATC